CCCGGGTTGATGTACTGTAAAATTAACAGCAAGAGTTTGACTGCTAACGGTTCTCAATGTGAACTGCTGAACATAGGCCTCCCACATTGATTAACTCATAGGGGGGATATTTACCATAGTTGCCAAGTTTGGCAAGCGGGTTGACAACCGTAGTTTTTGTTTTATTTTTAGTCGCTATATAAAACAAAGCCTTACAGCCTATAAGTAAAGAAAGCCAGCATGCTTCCTTCATTCAGATCAAAACACACACATGTATACAGTACAGTGCAAGAACTGCTATTTTACGGCAGGAACAGGTAAAGAGTGCGGTGCATACCCATACGAAGTTATAGCCAGAAAAGGCGACTTACCAAATAGAACAGGTAAATACTACATGCTTGAAAATATAGTTTCATTTACAGCAGGCTGGTGGGTTACTTATTAGCTTTTAGCAATTTAAAAAAATGTTTGATAGCACCACTGGCGTAAGAGAATCCACCTTGCCCATGACAACGCTTTAGGGCACTTCGATAGTTAACAAAAATAATTTTGAGTTACCGTTGCGATTTTCAATAATTCCAAAAAAAGACCCATCTTTGAGAATTTCCCTTTCCGAATCCTGAAGAGGCAGTGCTTGCTTTCGGAAATGCCGTGAGGAGGACATAAAAAAATTTTGATCTATTATTTTTTTAAGACTGGATCATATCTGTAAACGTACTTGCTACGTATTGCTTCAGTAACTTTTAATTTAACAAACTAAATTAAAATAGTATGTGAAAGAAAACAAACATACTCTTTCTTGTGCGAAGTGTGATATAGTCAATCCACCTTCCCAAGGAAATGCCCTCGTTTACATGTTAAAGCGTTCGTGCTAATCAACCAAAAACAGTTAGTCGACAGATAAAGTGAAATCGTTACTCAGTGTTGCTTTACCGTTATCGCGTTTGGACAGACAGAGACTCGGTTTGCATAATATTCACTAATTTTCTTATTGTTATAGACCATAATTTACGCAGAAGAGTCACACTGTAACTATATTATGGTTGTAGTACGAATGGGTCAATTCAAACAGGGTCAGAACCACGCTCTCACATAATAATAATTAAGAAGAAAAAAATAAACAACAGCTTAAAATAGCAGCAGTATTCTGCGGGTTTCGTATAGTGAAGGAGAGAAACGGAGATTTGTTTTATCTGGTACAGAGGCATTCTATTTTAGTTATCAGGCGTTGCAAGGCATTTGAATTGACGTTACCGTTAAAGCCTGTCAAAAGTCCACTGCCAAATATAAATTGCCTCATAGAGGGAATATTTACCATAGTTGTCACGCTTGGCCGTTGGTTTGACGATTGCTGTTTTTTATTGTTAGCTGTTATTAGGAACTGGTTTGTTCCCATTGTCTCCTCCTACGACACCTTCGGGACGATATGCAGTGATAGTACACCTGATGGCAAGTTCTTACACCGCCACTACACGGTCATTTTGATTTTAAGTCGAGCATAAATATAGGTGTTTCTGTGGCCCAAACATTGACTAAACTTCATGTGGTCACGTCGTAGGTTGATTTACACGTCTTAGTAAAGTAATTAACTTTTTAACTTAATAGTGAGTAAATAATAAGTAACTTCCATGTTAACAATGAATTTAGTAATTAGTGGCAAGTTAAAGTTAAGGATGCTAGTAAACAAGTAGAATAGAATTTTTCCTATCTTTGGGTTAAGTTTTTGGTTGAGGAAATGAGACGCTTAGAAAGTTTGATTAATTAGACAAAAGCTTTTAGAAATTTTTTTTTTACTTCGCAAATATCCGCGTTATAAAATAAAATGATGTGTCTTACCCAGTATGAAGAGCACCTCCCGCCCTCCCTCAATTGCATGCACTATCCCCGTCACCACTAATCCCAGCACACTACTAGTCTATATCACCTGAGGATGCCTCGTGTAGAGACGAAACACGTGTCGTATTATCGTCAGTGGTGTGTCTTGCCTAGTGTAGTGGTGTTGGGAGTAGCGATGCTGGGATTAATGGTGGCGGGAATAGTGCACGCAATTGAGGGAGGGCGAGAGGTGCTCTTCATACTGGGTAAGACACATTTTTTATTTTATAACGCGGATATTTGCGAAGTAAAAAAAAAATTTCTAAAAGCTTTTATATAATGGATTTCCGCAAAGTAACGCCTGATTCTATTAATTATAATTAGACAAAAGCAAAATATATTTTGGTAAAATATTTTGATTTATATATCTATTATTAAAGACAAGAACAATAACTATTGCATGCGATTTAAAGAGTCTGAATGTTTTTATCAATCGGACAACTTGGCGGTTGAGTCTGGCGGCGAAAGAACTTAATTAAATTTCGCTCGCGTCAACACTTCTGAATCTGGCCGAAAATCTACATTTTGCCTTATACTGTTAATCTTACGATAATCAAGAGGTGAAGTTGAGCTTCCAGCCGAAAGTGCAATTTATATTTCATGATTTCAATATTTAATTAAGTGAAAATATATTTTATATCTTCATTAGGTCAAATGAGCTTACGATTCACCTTACATGAATCGGGTATTCCCTCCCATGGGCAACTGAATCACCAGGGAAATGAAAGATGTCGACCTTTTAAAATGACGTAGAATATTTTCTTGAAAATCCCTACGTGGTAAGTTACTTTCCGTTGATGGCAGGTGCTCTTCGCCGATCTGAGTACTTACCTTTTAAAAACTCCATAACTAAGAATGGAAAAATAGGGCAATGAAGCAACTTTTACACGAAATTCTACATGAAAACTTGAATTGTGGCACTAAAAAAATTAAAGCGAACTTCAAAAACTAAAAGGGATCACTGGGGAGCCTAGAGGTGGGAAAAGTATTCCATGCGAGGCCCAACCTGCGCTTTGTAAAATTGCAAGCGATGTGCCGGCTTGAAACACTGTCCCGCTCTGCTGAGCACGCCAAGCATTTTAGAGGCCGATTTAGCCTTCTCTTCCAAGTGACCACGAAACTGCACGTCACTTGATATGTCGACTCTGGTCTCAGAGCAAAATTGCGGACGGACGGACAGTCATGGCGAAACTATAAGGGTACCTTGTCCTGTAACTACGGAACCCTAAAAGTACACATTCAGACACATTGAGGACCTCCTCCTTTTTTGTCTTTCTATTGTCTTACTGTAATTTAAAAGACTAATTGTTTTTCGAATCACACCTATATTTTACTGTATTTTTAAAGGAACCTGCACCTTTGGGTAATGTTTAAAGGAAACAAACATTTTAGCAAGAAAATCTATATTCAAAAAGTTTCAATGGACGCATTTAAATTCAATTTTAGCAATTATTCAATATATTTTTAAAACCGCATACATGACCATTACTGCCGACTAATTGCTTCACAAACCTCTCAGAAATTAGTGGACGCCTGTGCTCAGTAGTGGCACATGTAGGCTTTTACTTTATTTTTAAAATATATCTAAAAAGCATTGTATTGTGTCAACATCTACAATCACAACTAAAACTACACGTACCAAATGTTTGTTTTTGGTACAAAAATAAACCAGCGCATAGCGCATGTAAACAGTTAAAAATTAAAAACACAACATTATGGATGTATTCCCTAACTTGCTTGTTGGAAAATAGTTTTATGAAATATCATAAAGTTAAATGCATTTTATAATTTAGAACGACAAAACTTGTCTCTAGCTAAAAGTTCTGCTGCATTAAATTTGTAATAGAAATACACGGATAATAAAACTTTATAAAACGACCTAGTATATCTTCTTTTTCTATTAAAGAAAATGATGTTTCATTCATTTAATTACTGCTGGATACAAACCTCCCTCTAAGATTGCCTGATGGGGGGGGGGCGATATTTGTCATAGCTGCCACGTTTTGTAGACGGTTGGTAAACGCAGATTTTATTTATTTTGTGACGTTGTGCACGCACGGGAATAATATGGGGTAGTAGATTCTCTTCCTCCGCCACTACACACCTTGCTGCCTAATGAAACTTTCAAAACATGCAGATCAATAAATTTGGCAAGTAGGGTGGAGTCTATTCGTATGTCGATCATCCGTAGCACTTTGTCCAGGCCCTTTCGTACACGTTACCAAAAACTTCACCCGCAAAAATCGTCGGTGTTTGCATCAGCAAACACGCGTTTAAACACATTATTGATTGAATTCGCAGGGCATTGTAAGCTTTACGAGTGAAATTGGTACAAGACACTAAGCACTAGACTGTAGAGATGAGACATACTTGCAAAATTTAATACCAGGGCTTGTAAGTACGAGTATGGAAAAATACCAGGGTCGAAAACCAGGTTTTAAAAATACTTGAAAGTATTTGTTAGTGTCAATACGAATATGAAATATGAATGACTAGTTAGAGTCGGGCCACAATTATGATTAAACGTTATTTTTTTTTTTTCGTTAACGAAATGAAATCTTTCCTTCCTACTATTTAAATCACAGGCTTAGGACTGTCTGCTAAATATTATATTGTGTTTTTACGGTATTTTGACATAAGCTAAAATAGAAACTCATATTAGCAGGCGTAGTTAAAAGATTTCGTTTTATATACATACGTGATTTTGTATTTTTGTTGTTATTTTAGTTTATTTTTGTATATTTTTTTATATTTTTTTTTGATACTTTTTGTTAATATATTGATTTATTTTTTATTTTGTTGTAGAAACAATAACTGTTCTATTTTACGATTCCCCAAACGGGTCCTCCTCTCCCTTAATATGTTCCCTGCTACAGAAAATAACCGTTCACAAGGCACGCTAGAGGCCATTGCGTTTAATTTTATTTTGGCCAGTTCAGCTAAATTGAGATAAATTGTTTGATTCATTCGCCACCACTCCAAAGGATCCATATCTGGAGACGAAACTGCGTCTATATCTTTGGTTTTCAATGATTGCCCTGCTATGAGCGGTTCCAGCTGGTCATACATTTTGTATTTGCCTGTTGTAGTGCTTCCATAATAGACTGTTAGATTTTTTCCCTGGTTATCTGGCTTGATGCAGAAGACTAACATCTTTCATTTTCATTAATCATCGTGGTTACTAGGCCTATGATGTGCTTTTTCGTACTGTCCGCAACGTTTTCACTCTCAAAGTATAACTTATACCTCGGGTCTAGAAACATAGCGACAGTGTAAGTTCGACTCTGTTCCAAATTAGAAAATCGCGTACTTATTTCTGAGAGAAGATCCTGTCGGCACATTTTAACTTCATCAGGAAAAACGGCAATGTTATTTTCTTGCCGATATGTCAAACTTACGATCTTGTTGAGAGCGCTGATGAGACCAATTGTTAAAGGAATGCCTGAGCTTCCACTTACATATCTTTGGCCGCTCATTTCTCTCGTCACTTCTTCACACGATTGTAACACTATGATCAACGACTGGCATATATCCCATTCATTACTGATCAACATAATTAAATTACCGGTGTCTAGGTTACTGAGTGCACATTTAATTTCATCTTTTAGTTCCACAAACCTGTGTATCATGTAGAATGTGGAGTTTCATCTTGTAACAACATCTTGAATTGGCCTCTTAACAACTTTATTAGCCTGTTCTTGGTATTTTTTCAATTTATTCCATGCTAAATTACTTTGTTTGAAATAGGAAACTAAAGCCTTCACTTTACTTCACTTTAAGTCGCTTATGTAAGAACTTTCTAATACTTTTTGGACTGCCAGGTTAAGCGTATGCGTATAACAGCCAAAATGTTTCCACTCTAATTGAGCTATAGCACTTTTGATGTTGGCACCAAGTACAGCAGAGCGGGATTGTATTTCATGCCGGCACACCGCCTGCAACTTTACAAGGCGTAGGTTCGGCCTCACATGGAATACTGTTCCCATCTCTGGGTAGAGGCTCCCCAGTGCCAGCTCCTTCCACTTGACCGTATCTAGCGCAGAGCGGTTCGAATCGTCGACGACCGAGTTCTTTCCGATCGGCTTGACTCACTGGCCATGCGTAGAGATGTTGCATCTCTTTGTGTATTTTATCGCATGTGCTACGGGGAGTGCTCTGAGCAATTGTTCGGACTAATTCCAGCCGCTCAATTTCACCATCGCTCATCGCGACAAAACTCACGATACCATCCATACCATCTGGATGATTGGCGGTCCAGCATTGTGCGAATTAGAAAATGTTTCATTCCTCGCACAACTTCCTTGTGGAATCGATTACCACCAGCGATTTTTCCGGACCGGTACGACTTATGAACCTTCAAAAAAAGAATCCTCCTTTTTAAAAGGCAGGCAACGCATTTGCAATTCCCCTGGTGTTGCAGTTGTTTGCCCCTCTTCTATAAAAAAAAATATACATTTTGCACACTATTTTTACAAAGGTCCCATTTTCTAGAAATCAATCTGCTGTGGGTTGGTTCCTGTTTGCTTGATGCGAAATGGGTCCGATTATGAATCTGATTAAAATGCAGATGCATTACCCATTTGCCACCCGTGAGAACTAAGATGGAATGCCTCATTTCCAGTAAAAAGAGCAAAACACAGCAGCATTGAGGTGCTATTTTGCGTTGGTATTCCGTGAGAGCGTGGTCCTTCCCCGGTCGAGCTCAACCATTCGTGCTATAACTATACTACTAATAAAGCTGCAGCATGGCTCTACCACGTAAAATAGTAAAATGTGATGAAAGGGCATTATTTTATGAATAAAATATTTTAAATAGGCCTTGACTCTTACATAATTGAAAATGGGACTACGTCCAGAAACAAAACACACTATGATCATAGTTTTCTATCTCGCTTACACAATTACAGTGCCGAACAATATGATTTCGTTAATATTTATTGCTTTATAAAACCACATGAAAAGTGAGTCAGTGTGGCTATTTGCGCTTAAGTAAAGTATCTTATCTTTAATTGTTTATATCAATGGATGTATACAAAATGTTTATAGGTAAAAGCTTTAACTGATAAAATTATTTATTTTGTAGAAACCAGGTATCAATACTATGTTTTTAATTAAATACCGCTCTGCAATATGGCATATGTAAAACTTATTTTATCAATAAGAAAAATATTTTTTTTGTAAGTTTATTGCACATTTTATTCAAGTTTTGGTAATCAAAAAAGTTTTAATTTAAATACATTTAAGGCTCATGTTACAATTTTTCAATGTGTGTAGAAATTTAAAAAATATTTAAGGAAACAGTAAAAGGCGATTTCAAAAACTAAAAAGAATAAACTTATTTCTAAATAACAGCTTCAGAAATCGATGCTAAAACGGAGTGTATAGAAGAATTAAAACCCTTACATTAAAAACTTCATCCTCTGTTTCTTTTTCTTAAGGTGGCACAAGTCGCGGGCTCGAACTCGCTGGTGGGCGCGGCCAAAAAGCACGCTGTCTCACCTGGCATCGTGCCCGACAGAGATAGTATCAGTGATGAGCATATCGACACTAGTATTCACGCACGTCTTGTTCGTACGGCATTCAGAACCGTTTGAACAAAAACGAAGTTACACGAACACGATGCAACATTTATACTAATATAATAAAGCAGAAAATATAGATCTTTACTCCGTCTAAAAAAAAGTCCGCGATACCATATGTCTATTTTTTATATACTCGTATAAGCCACAATTAGGCATTTTTATTTTGACAAAAAAAAAATGAAAATTTAATTATTAGGCATGGCATATTTATCCTTACGAACGAAAGTTACTTCATTATCAAGACAATTTTTTGAAGATAAACTTCGTTGTTTATGCCATGTTTATATAGTACATAGTTGAGATAATGTAAAATTAAAATAATTCAATACTTGGCCTTGACGCGCAAACAACGCATAACCCCTAGCCCGGTGCGAACTGAGAAGCCAGTATTGAAAGCTTCTATGAGCGAGGTTAGGTTAGCCGTTAGTTCAATCATTATCTATATCTACACAAATAAATAAAATTGAAGTGTCTGTTATAATGTCAAAATAACAGCTTTTTACTAATTGCATATGAAATTATATACGCTACTTATAACACAATTTTTAACATTTTTCTGTCTGTCTGTCTGTTTGTTCCGGTTAATTTCCAAAACGGCTGGACCGATTTTGACGGGACTTTCACTAGTAGATAGCTCATGTTATAAGTAGTAACTTAGAATGCTTAAATTTTAGAAAAATTATTAGGCGTCCGTGCAACAAAATTAACACCCTAAACTAAATGCGGACGAAGTCGCGGGGAACAGCTGGTAGCTAAAATAAATTCAAAATTAATTGAGTGCTTTTATCTATCTCCCAGGTGAGCGTAACAATGATTAGTTAATTCTGAACTCTTTCATTTCACGTTGCTATGGTATTTTGAAAGTTTAATTGATTAATAAGTTTTTATTTTATTTATTTCTTTAAAAAAAAGACGTTACCCCCACACTAGGATTTTCTCGTGTATCGTGGAGGCAGTTTACAAACACAAATTGCACAAGGACAAACATCCAGACCCGGAACAATTATTTGTAGGCCATACAAATACAAATACTTGATCCGTGCGGGATTCGAACCCGCGGCCCCCTGCTCAGCAACTCATTGCTAAGACACTGCGCCACGGAGCCGTATAAGAGTATAAGAGGTTGATAGCAAATGTATCAAGAATCATTTCTTGCCTACACACTTTTCATGTATCGTGTACGTTTTTCTTTAAAACTGAATAAAACCGCGCATAGTATGCCGACAGATAAAATAAAAGTACTTCATTAATTATGACAATTTTTCCATACATTATTATCAAATAAAATATTTGATTGCAATTATAAAACTAGGTGTCATGTCATGCCATGCATCTCGGACACATGATGACGCGGGTGAAACCGCGAAATGATTAGGCGCTGCTTTATCGCTTCATATTATACCTCTGTGGCTCTATATACCTAATATAGATTGCTTATTTTATTATGTTTAGTTTTTCCGAGTGGTTATGCAGCGATCACTCAAGAGTTCGGCTTCGAACGTGTGTAACTGCAAAAATTATCCCACGGGAACGAAATATTTTATATTACTGGGAGCCGCGGGTTCGAATCCCGCACGGAACAAGTATTTGTATGGCCTACAAATAATTCTTCCGGGTCTGGATGTTTGTCCTTGTGCAATTTATGTTTGTAAACTGCCTCCACGATACAGGAGAAACTCCTAGTGTGGGTGTAACGTTTTTTAAATAAGAAAAAAAAAATTTGTATGGCCTACAAATAGTTGTTCCGGGTCTGGATGTTTGTAAACTGCTTCCACTATACAGGAGAAAATGCTAGTGCGGGGGTAATGTATTTTTAAAAAATAAAATAAAATAAAATTCCAGACTATAACCTATCTCTGAGCAAAATATCATCCAGGTCCCTTCAGCGGTTCTGGCGTGATTGAATAACATACATCCTTTCATTCGTCCATCCAAATATCCAAACTTTCGCATTTATAATATTTAGATAATAATTGTAATTAGTTCTGCTTACCTATAAATTTTTTTCAAAAATACTTACCTGTCTTCTTACTTTTTTTTATATATACTCAATATCACTAAACGTAAACACAGGTTTTTATCAAGACAAGTGACCCATCAAGATTGTTTTCTTAGTACTGACGTACCTACCTAAAGTTTACAATTTTGTGGCCACGACGCGGTGACGTTTTGTGACATTTTGTTGTATTGTAGGTTGTAGGTATCTAGGTAATAACAGTAGGTACCTATGAAAATCCCACATAATATACCTTGTTTGTCCGCCGCAAGAGTCGTCTAATAAATAATTAAACTGTTTTGTAATTCTTTATTTATTTATAACACTTGCATTGAGAGCCGTGGTAGCTCAGATGGTTATCGTTCGCCGTAAGTATCACACTACGCGAGCAACCCGGGTTCGATCCCCGTCGGCACCAATGAAATTGTTGCAATTTTATATAGTAATCGTATATTATAGACTTAATTTTTTTTCTTTTATAATTATATTATATTACAGACGAAAATTGAAATAAAAAACAAAATTGTCTGTCGTCCAAAACGCATCATCTCTTTCAATTATATCAATTTCCATGCTGTCTTTTGTCTTTGGCGTCCAAATTACAAAATAGCAAAACTTTTCGTTTCGAATAAAACTCGAATAAGCCCGCGTCACCGCCCGTGCATGTGTGTGTAAGCGTCGTCCTCCCGCACCGCACCGGGGCAAACATTATTCAGTGAGATGCACGATAATTCATAGTAACATACGCGCGTAAAAAAATACGAAAAGGCCTTTGGAAGAAGGGGTTTTATGAAAAAACCACTGCATAAATTAATTACGAATAAAATTTCTTGAATTCTTCGATAATTGAGCTGTGTCGGTACCGACTTTGTTTTGGAAATTTCACACTTCTTTTATTACTAATTTACGCCCAAAGTTGTGTTAAAATTGGCAATAAAAACGAATCTTTGGTAGCTCGTAACTTTTTAATAACATTTTATTTTACTATTCTGTTTCCGTACAGACAAATTTGATAATGAGACAAAACGATATCATGTTTAACTTTGGATGT